TCCTTTTGCATAATTGCTATGGGAAGTTCAGCAGCTTTGAACGATGCTCCGTGCTCTGCAGGGAAGGGCTGCCCTGGGGCTCTTGATTCCCGGGCATTTTCTCTTCCATTTGACCCATCCTGGCTGAAGTGCTCCTTCCCTTCCATGACACATTCTGGACACTTACCAGCAGCACCTGCTTCTCCCTTTCTGCCTCTGCTTTACATGCCAAAATGCTTCCTCTCTCATCCCTCAGACTCTCCAGGCGACGCTGCAGCAGATCCTGGAGAGAGAAGAGCAGTTCCCTTTCAGTTTAGAGAAGCAGAAAAAGGTATTGAAAGGGATGTTCATGATTGCTTCCCTTTTGCATCTTGGTGGGGAAAGGGGGCTCTCAGGTGCCTTCTTGATCCCAGGATGATCTAGAAATGAGCTGCAACATGTGCTGGGCAGGCTGCATTTGAGGTGCTCTGAGACGCGATGAAGTGACGGTGCCATCCCACAATGACCGGTCAAAACACCATTGAACTGACTGCCTTTCTAGAGTTCTTCAACTTTGAAAATGAAAAGTTTTTTTTTCTGCTGTTATTTCCTGTAAGATTCAAAACACTGTTAGACAGGATTCGGGTGGATACAAGCCATTTATTCCATACAAAAAGTGTTTGCAAAGGCTGACACAATGTCTCAGTAGCCTGAGAAACAAAGAGTGGTCTTTCACAGTTTACAAGAGATTTTATACAGCCGCGGCTCAACTCTACTCTCCTTTTGGCATTGGCTGGCTACTCTCGAGCGTACAATCTTCTGGTGTGCCTTATATGGTAGAACTCTAGTAACTACAATTTTATTGGTCTTTTCCCATGTCTATCAACAGTTTAAAGTTCCTCCCAAAGTTGTTAGCTCATTTGTTCCTTTGAAAGAATCTGTGTAAGTTCCTCATTCTTTCCCTTATCTCCTAGGACAGACAGATTACATTTCACCCAAGCTCTGCGCAATTTACATTTTACAAAGATACTATTTACATGTAAGAAGATATTGTTTGTACTTTTACAATGCCGCCACAGGCGCGCCTAGTCACCTCCTTCCTCCTCCATCACATTCCTGTGAGGAAGAACGGGCCTCCGTTCACATTCTAAAAGATACAGATTTTACACTTCCCACATTCCTTAAGAGGGGAACTGGCAAGGAAGCATCCTGAAAGAGCAAGTGTTGAAAGGACAAGCAAGGCTGAGTGCAAGATGCTTCTGGCCACCCCAGAAGTGATCAGTGCCGCTCTCATCCCCGGGCAGGAATGGTGGACAGGGCTCCATCTCTGTGGAGGAAGCAGCCTGGAAGGAGATGGCCCCTGCAGGGGGCATTCCTGCTTTTCCTGTAGGAATTCTTCCCTTCATCCTAAGATGCTAAGATGGAATTGCTCTGGGGCTGGGCATGGCCTGTGCAGATCTTCGAGCAGACATTACAGGCTGCTGGGAGAGGTTTCAGAAGCAAGCTCTTACAAGCCCAGAGAGTTCAGAGTCTCCCTTGCCTTTCTCCCCGCAGCCCCACACAAACGATCTGAACATGCACAGGCTGTGTGAAGGCAAACGTGCTTACGTCCCAGCCAGAACATAGCATGGAGAGTGGCCCAATGGTGCACGGCCTCCCTGCATGCCATTTAGCCATATATTCTTTTGTTTTACTTTCCAGTGCAACTGTGCCCATGTACAATTTCATTTGCCAGAATCCTCTCTTTGAAACAAGCCTACTTTGAAACAAGTAGGGATTGAAGCGCTCAGAAATGCACGCAGAGTGCAGCCAGTGCCTTGAGGAACTGCAAGGACAAGAAAAAGGGAGGGGGAGCAGCTGGAGCTCTGAAGTCCTCACAAATATTCCAGGAGTCAAGGACCTCCAGCATCTTTGATCACCCCCTTCAGTGCCGGCCTCTCATTGGTTCTGCACCCAGAGACCAGCTGGGCAGGACACATGCCTGCACACAAGCACACACACACGCAGGCACACACTCCTGTGGGAGTGTGGCCCCTTCTTTTAATGCAATTCAGTACTTCATTTAGCAATATTGTTCATTAATGGTTGAACCTTTATGTCTTGGCCACATGCAGTTGGACTCTAGCATAGCCTTTGTGCAGATAAAAGAGAGGTTCGGGGTCACACAAAGGGCAGGCAGGAGGAGTCTTAAAGGGCCCTGCTCCGTATTGCAGCTCCAGTGCGAATTGTGGTAAACTCAGAGGGTTGGAAGGTGTTATGTCAGGATCCTGGGGAGTCAGAGGAGAAGAGGGACTGATTCCTGGGGCCACATTTGGCCTGGCAGTGTCTGAAGCCGCATTCCCCTCCCCGCTCTAGGGCCCCTTCATCACATCCTGCCACCTGCCTCTTTCTTCTCCCCCTCCTTAGAACAAGCACAAACCATGGGACCTTCCCTGCCAGGGCAGCTCTGCCACTCTCTGCATCATTTCAATGGCCTTTCTTGGCTCTGTGCAACCTAGACCTGGTGCAGGGAGCAGCTGGAGAACAACCTAAACAACCCCTCACCCTTCAATACTAAGTCTTCTGGGACTTCCTCCGGATTCTTTCCCCCCACTTTTGAGAAACTGAGGAGTTTTGGGATACACCAAAGCACTGTCTGATGGATTAGGGCACGGTTGACTGACTGAAAGCAAAGGCTAACCGTTAGTGGGAATCATCGGGATGGCGGCCAGGGACAAGCAGGGTCCCCCAGGGCTCTGTCCTGGGGCTGATCCTGTTCAATCTTTTCATTAATGACATGGAAAAAGGGGGGAACAGTCTGCTGATCAAATTTGCAGACAACACTAAAACTGGAGCAGGGGCCACAACTGAGGAGCAGGTACTCCAGATCCAAAAGGATCTGGACAGACTATGGAAGTGGGCAGGAGACAACAGGAAGGCAAAAGTGCAAGGTCTTGCACTTGGGCCCTAGGAATAGGTGTCATAAATACAGGTATGTGAGGGGATGTCACACGGAGGTGGGTAGAGACCTGTTTTCCCCTGCAGAGGAAGGCAGGACATGCTCCAACTCACGCAACCAAAATTCAGTTTGGATGCTTCCTGACAGTCAGGACCCCAAGGGTATGGAATGGGCTTCCATGGGAGGTGGTTGAGGCCCCATCGGTGAGGGTGTTCAAAGATAGGCTAGACGTGCACATGGTAGGCATGTTGAGAGTGGAGCCGGATGGAGCCAGGGGTCAGACTAGATGGCCCAGGAGACCCCTTCTGACTCGCTCTGTTTCTATGTTTGCTTGCTTTTTTTTAGCAGAACATTAATATGAACAGTTGAGATACAATATATATCAAATTATATCAATAATATTAGCATCTACAACCCAACTGATAACCAAAAAAATAAACCAATAATCATTGTGTGCCCGCTCCCCAGGCGCCCAGTTTATATTTCCATTTCACTTCATATAACAATTAACAATATATAATATACTTTAGATATACCCATATCCCACCTCCAGTTGCCTTTTACATAAGAAAAGAACACACATATTGACAGCAATCCTGCCTGGCCCTTCCCAGGGACCTGGTTCCTGGGCAATCCAGAAAGGCAAGAAACCAGTGGATCACGGAGCATCATTCCTTTCCCATTGGCGGGTCGTCGCAGAGGCCATGCTCAGAGGGGCCCACAGGATCTCCTACCTGGTACTCCTGGGACGCCTCCTCCAGGGGAACCACCTTGTGACCTTCATGCTCCTTCGCTTTGTCACACACCAGGCAGATGGGGGCTTTGTGGTCCTTGCAGAAGAGTTTCAGGGGCTCCTGGTGCTTCTCACAGAGTTGCACCTTCCCTTCAGCCCCTTTGACAGCCTGCTCCCTTAATTTTCTGGCGATTTCCACAATCCTGGCCAGGTGCCGATTGGGCTGGAGGTTGCTGTTCTGGAAGGTCCCCCTGCAGTGGGGGCAGGAGGCCTCTGTGTCTGATTCCCCCCCGCTCTGGCTCAGGCAGGCTCGGCAGAAATTGTGCCCACATTCTGTAATGATCACGGGATCCCTGAAATAATCCAGGCAGATGGGGCAAGTGGATTCCTCGCAGAGAGCCCGGACGGTGCTCTCGGGGGTGTCAGCCATGGCTTCTGCACACAGCGGTTTCACTTTCCACAGATCAGAAAGTGGGAGTTTCCTTCCTGTAAATGCGAGCCCGGCCCATCCTCACTCTGAGGCCCGAGCCACACATGTGACTCTGCCCAGGTTTACTTTCCAGCACCGCACAGTCACTTCCTGCCACATGCAGCTCATCAACTCATTGTTCTTTGTTAGTCAGAATCAAGTAAAAGGTTGTTTTATTTATGTTATTGAAAAGGTGTCTGTACTGGATATTTTTATACCCTGTCTGTTATATGCAAAGTTTGGGGAGGGGGGATCAGCTGGGCACTTTGCTGGAGGCGCATGAGAGTGAAGCCACGGGGCTGGATGGATTGAGACAGCACAACAGGAAAGGGGGAACCTTCAGGACAACGTGGGCTTTGCCTGGCCTTTCTGTCCAGAGGATGGAACAGAAGCCAGTGGCCCTCAGGCTGGGAGCAGTCAATATCCCTCCCAGTCCCAGGAGGGAGGTGCCAACGGGGGCAGCAGCTCAGCACCACTGCACTAACGCAGTGTTTTATGTTTTATATTATATATTTGTATTTTAATGTATATATTTTAAAATGTTATTTTAATTTATTGTTGTAAGCCGCCCCGAGGCTTCGGCGAATGGGGCGACATAAAAATGTTTCAATAACTAACTAAATAAATAAATAATAAATAAAATAATAAATAACGCCCCATCCCAGCAGGGAGATGCTGAAGGTGGAGCAGCGAGGAGGATTCCCAAAACCCAGTGAGGGCTGCTTAACCTGCAGGCTGGATTCTGCAAGGTAGAGGCGCTTGAGATACAGTGGTACCTTGGCTAACAAACTTAATCTGTTCCAGGACTCTAGTTGTGACCCAAATTGGTCGTGAGGCAAGTCAAATTTCCACATAAGGGTCAATGTAAATAAGGTTTATCCGTACTGCAACTATTTTTTTAACTCACAAAAATATGCAGGAAAGTGACGCAGAACAACAAAGATTGTGATAGTGTGGGTGGGTGCAGGGAGGTGGGCGCACTGGGGGGGGAGGGAAGTGGGCACGGGTGTGCTGGGGGGAGGCAGGTGCCTGCGCGCTTGGTCAGGGAGCCGGGCACAATCACAGCCATTTCCCCCTCCCAGCACGACCATGATCGCGCCTGTGCAGGGAAGGCGGGTGTGCTTGCAGTCGTCATCCGATGCAAAGTTTGTGACCTGCGGTAAAATTTTTATGAAATTTTTACTCGCGACCTGATTTGGTCTTGAACTAAAGCGTTCGTGAACTGAGGTATCACTGTACTTTGCCAATGTATTCTGGCTCCAGGAGTGCAGCAAAGCGAATCAGAAGAGGATCGTCCATGCTTCACGCACTCCAGAATGGCCTTTGCCGAAGTCACCAGTTCCAACCGAGATGGCAGCTGAGAGTTTAGAAGACTGGAAGACAGAGGGGCAGCAAGGGAGGAAGCAGAAAAGGTCCTCCAGAGCAGGGATGGGTCACTGGAGGCCGAGGCCAAGATCGTCCGCACTCTGTCCTTGCTGCTATATACAGACTTCTTCTGCAAACCCAGGAGTTGCCAAGACAGAATAACCTCCTTGAAGCTCAGCAGGTTGCCCTTTCCTCATGGAATCCTTCCAGTTTCGAGTCTTTCTGAACTAGGGGTGAGGATGATGGGGAGAGGATCCCCCTATTAAGCGGACTGAGTGGATTTGGGAACACCCTGCAGGGCAGAGTTCTGACAGCCAGAGTGCGCTCTTTCCAACAGGGACACAGAGCAGCAACCGGGCAAGTGGTCCCTGGATCATGCAATATGCAGGAGGGGATGCTTGAAAGAGGATGGTCACTGGTCCTGGGCCATCATCCACATCCCCTTTTCCTTCCCTCCTCCTGGCTGGGTCAGGCTGTGGGAAACGAGCACAGAACCTGCCCGGGTATTCTTCCAACCAAAACCGTTTGGATCTGCCTCACTCTCGTTTGGACCTCCTGTGCTGCCTCCGATGGTCTTCATTTCCACTGTGCAACATGCTGTCTGGAAGGCTGCGGATCACCCTGAGCTCTCCTTCCTCAGCGGAAAGGGCCCGCTTTCCCCGCGGATAAAGAAACAGGGAAGGTTCTGCTTAGCCTGCCCGGCAAGAGTCTGTCCTCCAGTGATTTAAGGTCCCAGAGGGGGGCCTCCCTCCCTCACTACTTTGGTTGCAGATCTCCTATAGAAATGCAGTGGTTCCTTCATGCGGTGTGGCAACAGGGAAGCTGTGTGGAGTAGTGGTCGGAGTCATGGGTGCAAGAGATCCAATTCTAGCCCACACTTGGTCATGAAGCTCGTTGGGCCAATCACTGCCTCTCCTACCTCACAGGGTTGTTGTCCCATCTCACTCACCAGGGCTACCGTGGGGCTGGCCGTGCCCTCCCTGCCGGTTCCCCACCTCTTGCTCAGGCAAGAAGGAAGAGGCAGCTCAGTGGGAACCGGTGGGCGCCGGGCAGGCCTGAAAACCGTCCTCCTCCTTCCTCTGCCCTGTTCTTGCTGGGAAGGGAAATGCTGGTCTGGCTTGGGCTGGAGTTTTCCTCAGCCAGTCTGTGCTGGTGTGTGTGCGTGTGTGGGGGGGGGGGGTTTGGGTGTGGGGTGGGTTCATTGCCTTTTCTCATTTAACATGAAGAATGTTAGTGTACAACCCAACTTTGTGTGATTTTGTATTCGTCTGCTGATAATATTGTATTTGAATGCGTATTTGTACAAATCCTTCATTCTCTTTGGGGGGAGGAGGGATGGAATCGCCTCAGGACTCCTCCTCTGTGGCATCACTGGGGGCACTTCCCTGGAAGTGGGGGGGGGGGGCGTCTTCACGTCGCCATCTTCATGGACATCTGGAAGAGCCAAGTCTGGAGTAGGGATGTGCAAGGAATCGGTTCGCAGGTGAGACTCCATCAGAATCAAGGGAAGTCACAAGGAATTTTCCAGGGAAGAATTAAAATAGGATTCCACGTGGCCCCAAATACAGCCCTGTTTCCACATGGAAACCTCCCCTGCTTGTCCGCCCTGCAAACCAGAGGGGGGTAGGGAGTACCAACTTTTGAAAACGAATCAAGGCCAGACTGGAGAGAATTTAAAATTTGACTCGACGCAGAACTATCTAAACATCCGAGCAGCAGGCCAGATAATAACAGAATTGGGTAGGAAGCGAGAGATACCGCAGAGCACGCCAGATTAAACAACTCAGTCCTCGCAGGTCCTGGAGCGGCTCCAGCCCTTGGTTCCCCCCACCGCCGCTCCCCGTCCCGGCGGCTGCTGCTGCCTCCCTCCGCCTCCTGGAGCGGCCGCCAGTATTGGGGGGGGGGGGGGCGACAGGGGCTCCCCGGGGCTGCCTCTCCCTGCCCGGCGCTTCGGGCGGCGCTCTCTGCGCGCTCAGAGGTCCCATCTCCCATCCAGGCTGCCCGCGGCTCCGGTGCTCCTGGAAAGCTCCCGAGAGTCACGTCGCCCCACCGCTCCCGCGACCTCCACACTCAGACAGGGCCTCGGGGCTCCCTGCATTTCGGGGGTGGCGGGCGCTGAAATGCTCCGGCAGGCGGGGCACGGTGCTTCATCGGGGGCCCCCGGGTACTTTCGCTTTCGCCCTCGCTTCCACGCCGGGGTGTTTCCTTCCCGGAAGCGGCGGGGCTCCTGCGCGGTCCCTGGTAAACACAAGGGCGGGCAGGAGGTGGAGCGCTGGGCTCGGGAGAGCAGTGGCGCCACGTGCAGGCTGGTGGGGGAAGTGGCTCGGTTCCTTCCGCAGGGCCAAGAGCGGCAGGAACGCGGGGAACTAAGGGAAGCCTCCCCAGAGGGGCCATGCCTGCAGACGCTGCTTGCTGGGGCGCCGGGCAGGCAGAGGCCTTGCACCCCTCCTGCGTGAGGCGTCCCGTGGGCGCCTGGTTGGCCGACGTGTGTATGAAGTGCTGGACCAGGTGAGCAGGCAGAAAATCCTGCATGGAAAGTGTGCTTTTGCTGCAATGGTGCTTGGAACTGGGGACCAACGAGTTGGAAGAACCCCGAGGGGGTCCAGATGGGCCAAGGCAGTGAGGACAGGCTCCCCTCGGGGAAGCCGTCCTGACTGAGGTAGGATTGCATGAGGGAGCGGCTGCAGTGACAGCAAACCACCTCCACAAGTGGGTGCCCACGAAAGCCGGCAGAACTCAAACAGCACTCGAGAAGTGGCACAACTGGACATGGAGCCAGGCCACGGAGGAGCACTTGGATGCCAGGCGTGCGGCTCCCTCCCGGGAGAAACGGGGTGGAAGCTGGACCCAGAGCGGACGAGCCGGTCGTTTGGCTGCTCTGCTGGAGGCCAGGCCTGGCGGCGGTGCCCCAGCGACTGGTGAGCTCTGCCCAAGGCCTGGTTCACGGCCCAGTGAGGGCTGAACAAGGAGACGGGCAGCACACCGGATCCCAGGGAGAGAATCGGAGCATCC